CCAGCGCGTACGAAATTCGTGCGTGAACCGTGCGAAAAAAGGACATAACAGACTCCTGGGCATGGGTTGGCATTGAAAGATCAGCATAATACCTTATGCTCGGCCAAATACAAAGATAAAATTTGTTTCGGAGTAAGCGGAGCCCACGGTAAAACACGCGATAACTCTAAAGATTGAGAATTGGAGCCGAGAAGTACTTCTCTGGTCACATGGGAGTGACGTTCAGCGATCTATTCTAACCGCAGAATGGAAATAGCCATCTCTGCGTTGCATTCGGATTGAGGGCCCATGGTCCGTGCGGACTGCTGCACAGCATCAATCGACCAGTAATGGACGCGTGTTATCGACGCGGCCATATTCAACTGACAAGTCGCCATGGGCCAAGCTACCATCAACACTGATAAGTGTACCCTTCTGACATCTGTGACCGTAGCAGCCTGGTTATTCGGGTTTTGACGTTTTACCTCCAGACGAAATTTAAAAAATCGAGTAGTAAACCTCCTCCGAAAGTCTACTAAGCCTTTTTTGAGGACGCATTTCCAACTTCAGAGAAGTTCAGTCGGCAAACTGTTTTAAAGCAGGAAACCAACCGGAAAGTGACTACTACAAGGCAATAAATGGCTTAGGCAGTGCCAGAACGGTCGCAGTCTTGTTCAGCCACTTTATAATAAACCAACACTACTTGTTATGCATCCGCTATGCCCATTCTGATTTCAATCAACTGCTTGAAATAGCAGTCTTTTTCAAGCAACACTGAGTAGGAAAACAAACACCTGGATTTAAATCAGTATAATACATCGGGCTTCCTCCCGTGCGACTGCGCCATTCCAAAACAGAGTTGGGTAATGTGTGCACAGCAGAAGGAAACAGCCTATGAAGGGGGTGCTTTGATGAACGGATATCCGCCTTCTCTCGCTCCTTTGGGTTCCGCCAAATGCCCTACAGAGAGCCAACAGTCTTTCACTGAGGCTCGGAGGAAGACGTGCGCTGACGGTGGGGATAAAAAAGTTAGCCCTGAGTGGCATGGAAGGTGCCTACGGTGGAGATAGTGGGCACGAATTGTAGCCATCAGTGGTGAAGGTTAATTAATCTATTCGGTAAAATAAATCTGAGTAGTACTTATTTTCGTTGCAGAGGGTGAAGTATGTGTTTGTGGATCCTGCAAGCGGCTTTTCGCTTGTGCACACTGCTTAATGACTTGCGTAATGAGGAGAACAAACTGGAAGCCATAGAGGAAGTCATAAAGAATTGATCACAGTGACACGAATTCATCTTGGAGGAGATAATTGAAGGCGAAACACAGTAGCTTATGTGAAAATAAGCGAAATGACTTAACCATCGGTCGGCTGTTTCGAAATGCAACAAGGCTTTTCTGAAGAATTCTCTACAGAAAAAGGATGTTTTTGAATGCGTGACACCTTCACCTGGAGCCAAATTGGCGTTTTGGCGTGCGCGCGATCAACAGTGTAAAATCAGAAAAACCCCGCATATTCCGAATAAACGGTTATCAATCCAGAGCTGGCTAGTTATTTTTACCCCATTTATGTAACCGTTAGAAGCTCGAGAGACGAAAAGTGCAGATAGGGTGCTACTACTAGGATGGTATGATTTTCAAAAAGTGCTACTTGGCATGCCCCTGTAAATCAAGTAATAAAAAAGCAGCTGCACTTGGTGCTCGAATTCCTAGAAAAGCTGTCTAATCTTGAAGGCATTATCATAGGTTGAGAAAACTTGAGGAAATCGCTCGTTTCAAGTTCTAAATTAGCATTTTCTTAAAGAACATTCAACCCGGAATAGTAACTTCACTTATCTGAACATGTCTAGAAAAGCCGGCCACAACTTTTGTGATACCCGGTCCCCAACGCAAGGTAAGCATGCTGAGTAAACAGAAATCCAAGTAAGAGGCTCCGACGTCCTTGACAGATCATCCATAGTCAAGGGATGACCCCTTCTCCGCAATTTGGCATCCGGGTGGATGTCCAACCCGCAAGGCAGCGATAACAAAAATTTACTTAACAAAGACCAGTGATCGCCATATCCCAGTACCACCACTGAATTATGCAGTATTTTACGGGGCAGTCGGTTTGCCAGACATCAACGCCCGCACCTTAATAGCCCACAACTGTCTGGTCTCCAGATGCGCGCCTGTGTCTTTCTCAAGCAACATTCACCGAAAGCCGCTTCATCATTCCTCACCCATGGTCGCATCGGGTGATTACGAGCCAAGCCAACAGGCCGGTCCCGTAAAGCGGCTCCCGCTGCACTTGTGCCAGCCCTTACATATTACCATACATGGATAAGAGATGCGTGCATTTGACAAGGGTCTCAGGGCACTGGTTAGAGGACAGTTGACGCATAACAACGAGATTTCAGTGGGGACAGATGACAAGAGGGGAAAAGGGGGAGAGCAGGGCCCAGAAAGCAGACGAAAAAGTACCAACAGCAGCAGACAGCATAAAGCCGATTATTTGTCATCTCTGGGATAAACGCGTCGTCATGGTGAGTGGGCCGTGCACCATTAGGCCAGATGGAGGTGGAATTATTTTCATCTAAACCAGAACTGGATAGCTGAAGCCCGCCAGCTATGGTATGTACGCAAGTCGATGTGTGGGTGTGTGTCTGTGTGTTCTGGGAATTATAAATTCATGAATATGTAATGGCTGTGTATGGGCCAGACGCATGCAAAGGATAGCACGCGGAAACACCCCCATCACATGGTAATTGTGTGGAGAAGCAGGCAAGGGGTGTGAAAGGGTGACTAGCAAACCCGCGGGACGAGCGACTCGTCCAAAAAAAAACCGGACAACTTGAGAAGCGAAGAAGCGGATCAGGTCAATGACCGCGGCAATAAACGATGCGGAGGAGCACGTGTTTGTCTAATTTAGCTCTCAGTTGGAACATTTGTGGTTCCAATGGAATAAATTTGCAAGCGAAATTGGCACGACGAAGCGAATGTGAACAGTTTGTGTGCTCATCGTGGTGAGGAAAAGTACGGAGTAATCGAGAAATTGGTCGTGGCGGTTGCGGAAAAAAGAACATGTCTTGAAGCGGAAGCAACATCTACTAACTCCGACCTTCTAAAGTTCATCCGCTATTTCCCTTTCTTTCTAATCACATAGGTGCGTCCTTCTGTTTTAGCGCAGGAGGTTGACTACCTGTCGAATTGAAACTACACTTTCTGCTTTGGCTGTCTGTATTAAGTAACAACTCCGTTTACCGATAACGGCTGCAGTTCGGAAGAAACAAAGTTCTTGCGTTAACTGTCTCGTTCGACAACACAGAAGCCCACATTTTCGCCCATGCTGACCATAGCATTTGGAGATTTGTTGGTACAAATGTCCTTCCAAAAACAACAGTCGGCTATCTCTACGTCGAGGCCTGATATACTCCGAGTGGGGACGGACGCTCCTCAGAATTAAAGTCTTCATTAGATAAAAATGCAACAATAAGTCGATTTTGGTCTAGAAAGGACCCCTTGGATAGAAAAAGGTCAGGCTGGACTTCAAATACGACGGAAGAACGTCCGTTAAATATCAAAGCTCCCATGTCGCAGCAAACTGCCTTATTTGCTGAAAAAAATTGAAACTATCACTCTATCTGTCAACATGAAAAACCTAGAGATGAGGTATTACTGCGACTACTGAGTGAATTTTTTCTGTTTAACTGTGGTGCCGAAGGAGAGCCTCGAAGGTACGGATATACAGCGATCGCCCAAAGAATTTTAGACCGATACTGAAGTCTTCATGTGTTCGCCTCTCCTCTTAACTTATCAGTCAAAGGAAATCTACGCACATTATTGAGGAACTTAGCCATAGCAGGACGTTTCTTTGTGCGCAAAAGTGTCATCTAGCTGGGCTGCCCTGAAGGCATTATAGCAAACGTCTGCAATCACACCTTCTGGAGTTGCTAGTTCAGTTTGTAATGTAAAATGAAAGCGTCTTAAATGAATGAAACGAAGTAAGAAACCGAATTGGTCGCATGATTTTGGCGTCGAAAATGCCTAGAACTTTAGGCAATGTGCCTGCATGACTCATTGCAAAATGTCTGAGGTTTGTTTTTTTGCGTTAGCACTTCGGATAGAAAATAGTCTGTGACCAGCGGTGTGGTTGTTTTTTCCGATTTTGCGGATTTTCGCCCTTCCGGAAAAGGGTGTTGGTGTTAGATACGAAACCACTCGCATCTTTTTTCGACTGGAGGGGGGAGGAGGGGGTACCTACTCACGTGTCCTAAGTGTAACCCTAACCTTCAACCCGGTTATACATAGGGTACTTATGCCCACGCCTTAACGAAATACGACAGACAATGGTTGCCTGGAACTGCATGGCGAGAAGCTTTGGGCTCTAGTGAAGATGCAAAAGCATAGACAGCCGTCTGCAAAAAAGCACGCATTCGGGGTCATTTCAATAACGAAGTTCAGTGACGCGCTGAACTAACATCCCAGTGCAGTTCCCTCTATGCCTTGTGGAAAACAAAACTGTGGATGAGGGACAATTTTAACTAGGCGCCCCCTGGACCACGAAAAACAGTCAGCAAATGCGTACCACTTTATGCAGCAGGGTCGGGGCGCTTTTCCACAGAAAGTTTGCATACACTATGTATCGATTTATATGGGCTTATGTACGTTGACAGGCACAAGGCGAGCCAGATATGGCTCTCAGATGAATATACCGAATTTTAGATTATGAACTCCAAGGCTTAGGGTGTACTGGTTACTGAGGATTGACAGTCCATGTAGACGAAATTATCTAAATCAAAACGGCGGATCAATATGTTCAGTGGTATTACCAAAAGGATTTACTGCCGTAGGAAGAAGTCAAAATGGTTAACATACTGGATGACAGATGTAAAGGTGTTCAGTTGACAAAAAAATGGTATACCTGCCGACTGTTTGGCTAGCATTCTGTCTCAAAGGCGGTGGAGGGAGAACTTTACATCCAGACAGCCGGGCAAAAAAAAATCCGTTTGACTGCAGTTCTGGTTTGGATCTGGTCGCATTACTTCTACTGCGGAAAGAGAAAAAGGAGGAAAATACAGATCAGACCAAAAAGTGTTTGATGCCAACGCGCCCATTCGGACTGGAGGAGGAAGACTAGGAACAGCAAAAGATATGGGGAAATAGTCTCTTATGCGTTCAAATTCTAGCCAGAGAATGTTTGCCCGCTAATTTGGTGATCAAATCAAGCGTTAATTGGGATAACGTTAAAGCCGATAAAAGGCGTGGAAGGCGTGTATCTTCAGGCCTTCCTTGAACTTTTCTAAATGTCGTGGGCAAACCAACTTACAAGGCATATGTGTGTAGTAATAAGGCTATTTGCTTCCCTTTGAAACCAGTATGAAAGTATGAAATGACGCTAGTTGAGCTGGGTTTAGGTTTAATTTAAGACAGGAAGTCAGTAGATGGCTTTGAAATGACGATTACGAAAGCCGGCAGCGATAGGGATGAGATACTGGAATTTGGATTTTTCCGAAATGAAAGACCAAACGGTCACGAAAGACAGCAGACAGACTCAGCTTCGACTTGGGGCTGGCTCCGGTCGGGGAGGCGGTACACTGCAGATTAGATAGGTCTGTTGCACAGTGAACTTCATCCTACGTATGATGTAGATATAAAATCCCAGAAATCGTCTATGGAATGTCAAAGGACGCTTTACCTGGTGAGTTCAAACTGCTTCTCTTGAGAAGTGTCAAGGCAGCGCGGGTAAACTTTTTGGGCATTAGCGGAAGTCAGACAACCCTATAACTCCCACCACAGCCGTGGGCATCGGAACAGAGATTCCCAAACTTATCATCATCATCAACGTACACGCAAGATGTGTGACCTTCGTTGCCTGGCTACGCACCGAAAACTGGCAAGCTTTCCCAAAAATCCAGTCATTTTGATTGTCCGACTATAACTTTTGAGGCATTTCAGGGCATATAAAAACTGTTGGCAATGTCCACAAGGAAGAGGATGCAATCATGAGACTTAGAGGCATACGTGCACGGGCAAAGTCCCTCAAGGTAACCATAAGCAATGAATTTAATTCAATGCATGCTCGAGTGGGCAAAAACGTTAGTGTGAATACCGATTGAAGCGAGTGCAAAGGCGTCACCACCGGATGCAGTGTGGGTGCAGAGCGCTTGGCGGGGTGGGATTTTAGACTAAGACAACTCGTAGATGTTTTGGCAGATTTTGAATAATTTATATTGACCCAACTGTGAGAAACTCGGCGCCTCGGTGGGATTCGAACCCACGCAGTGAGCGGAAGGCTTTAGTACATCCAACACTCTAACCACTTGAGCTACGAGGCCCCGGCCGGACGACGCGAGTTTAATCACATTTGGGTCGACAATAGATTGTGTGGGCATATTAGGAGTGAGGAAGTTGACCTAATTTGGTTGAAATTCAGTCATTAGTGGCGGCGGCAAGCCAAACTCCCTGGCTTAGAACTGTTCCTAAGGTCACAATTTCTGTCTTTGTACGACTTCATGGCCAATCATTATCTCGCAAACTGGAAACTGTTTGGAGGCTGCGCGCAATTGTCGGACGGCCGACTGTGAGTTCGGAACACGTTAAGATCGGCACACACGATGCAGGGAACGTTCCGGAGATCATAAATTACTAAATACTCTGCGGAAAGTCTGTGATTGTTTACTACTAAGCGAATAGGTCGGCAAAAACTGGGGGCAGTCACCGTACTCACATCAGACATTCACATTGCACAGACGAATGTCATAAACGCAGAGCACTGACGGCAGTAAGACGCTTAGTGTGCACAAAAAGGTAAAGCTTCGAATTGGCGATTGACAAAGCCGTAGTCTTGAAGCATGACCGTTCCAACAATGGAAGATCCTTCACCCTTTCCTTTTATTAAGAGACTGAGTATTCTTATACAACGGACAAACAACAGCAGCAAATAAATGGGAAATGTAAAAAACAACCAGAATTATGTTAGACAAGTCCCTTGTTTCACTTTACTGCCTCAGCTGACACAAAAATCCTGGTCAAAAACGACGCAGCCTCGACAGTGCTGCATGTGAGTAAGCGAAATATGCAGTGATTTATGCGGATTCATCTATTTGTACGATTAAATTCACCTATACACGGAAAGCAGTAATTGTTCTTGGGATCACTGTGGGATCCAGTTATCAGATTTTGCTGGTAGCAATAAGGAAAACAAAGCCAGATAAGAGTATTGTGCTAGTCAATGAAGGTCGGCTGAGTTACGGAGTCAACATCGACACCAGATACTGTCTCAAAAATCAGATGGGCATAGGGCGAACTTGGGCAGATAAGAGCACCCGCGACCGTCGAAAAATACTGCCGCGAGGACAGAGAAGTCTGTGCACTAAAGAGGTCCCCAATTAAATAGGAAAGAATGAGAAGGCGTCAACAGTCATTTGGGCAGGTGAAAACAGACATTCCATCACTAGGAAAATTATGTAGACATCTGGCATTTTGTCTATTCTGCCCAGTCCAACAACTTTTTATAACCTCAAGCATTCAATTCATAGGAATCCAAGTTTACGTTGGCAAGACATGAGGGTACTGGATAGTTTTTTAAAGCCAGACGACCGAGTCCAGAAATTACTCACTAGCAAGCTTGAAAACTTGGTGTCATCAGCATCGTCATCATTACCAGCCCCATGACAGGGTAATTTTATGGACGCCTGGTCTCTTCTGTGTGGGGTGCTATATGCGTTTAACAGGCATGAGCATGTTTGCGGATTCCACACACGGTAATCAATTTCTAACTCAACTTTAGGTGTCATCGTTACGCCCCATTTAAAGAAAAGAAATTCATTTGCACGTTGCTTAAGCACTCTGGCCAGTAGAGCATCCTTCTCCTATTTTGCTGTTGGTCAAAATCCTGGTCATTTGCTGTGTGGACCAGGGGGTGCGGTGTGGCGTGCCAAGGTGCGGGCTCGACCGTGCCATCCACCTGCGCCATCCCCCGTCTCCGGTATTCTTGACTCTGTCTTGACACCGGGTCCAGGCGGGGGAGAAAGAGTGCGGTGGATGCCGCGCAAGTCTATGTTTATCATAAACTAAATCAAGCGCAAATCACCGAGCCTGTTTCGCCTTGCTGCGGAGCACATGGTGGACATCGTTGGATGCGACGGTCGAACTGTCAAAGCCCTCTAAATCAGTCGTTTAAAAATCAACAATTATGGTGAGATAAATGCTTTATGACGCAGTTCTCTAGCTAGACAGTTTTCCAATGAACACAGTTAACAAAGGTGCCCAGCGACTGCTTTAACTGGAAATCTTGTTTGGTTCGCACATAGACAACAAAATCCGTTTAGTCCTTACTACTAATGATGCGCATAGGCAACGTTATGGTCCTGGCTGGGATTTCACTGACGTTATTGGCACAACGATTACCACAAGGACGCGGGAGTTTATCAACGCCTAGCATTTCAATGGGAACAGTCCTAGTCGTTCTGTCGGCCTCAATTCGCGCTCCATCGTTCGCTCCCACCTCCAAGCCCCTGGCTCGTGCGCATAACACGCTAGTAGCGATTCAGTTCTTAGCGAACATATTGCATATTCTTGCTCTCTTCCGACCATCAGATTCGCAGTATGGGAGAACCGATCGTAGACCCCGGCGCCTCACCCTCCAGCGTTTGATCCACACCCTGTGAGGTTATCTTCCCTCGGGACGAATTTGCGCTAATAGTTCGAAGACCCACAGTCATATTTCTTCATTAAGAGGTTTTACGATAAATATAAGGACATTGGAGTGTCTATTCACGACTTGCTTGCCGTAGTCAGCCACAGATGCGTAGTCAACCCACAGATACGCGGGTGGGTAGCGGGTCTAGCCCATACAACTCCCAGGGGTCTGTTACTATAAAGGGTATCATTGGTAGGATCGCAATGTCTACTAGTTCCAGACAACATTTATTTCCGCCAAAGTAAAATAGGAGGGACCGAGTAAAACAGCGTGTGTTGTGTGATGTAACGGACTCTAAAAACTGGGGCGGGAGGGTGGTTGGATACTACAAAATATTTCTACAAGACCCGTATAAAGTCCGTCTAGTGAAATTTGGATTCTGACTGTTTCTGACTACGATATATGGCTCAATGTGGATGGAGCATATCGCCCTTTCTTTGAGATGAAAAAGTGATAGCATTAGCCTGAGGTCGTGAAGATCGGGGAGCCAACGTTTGATTGGAGGGACAAAAACCTCAGAACAGGAAAAAGTCAGACAAACATCATATTGTGAAACAGCGATCCACTTTTGTTCTGTGTGCGTCAAGTCCCCTCTTTCTATGCCAGGATTGGTCAGCGAGGCATAAGACGTTAAGCCCTTGGGACAGATGTGGTTGGTCGGCGCAGAAATTCAATCGTATTATACTTAAACGGCGTAAGTGAGCGAATCGACAATATTCAGTATCCGAACATTTGTTTCACGCAACTGACCAGAACAACAATAAGCAGTGAAGTGCGTAGAAGCTGTCCAGTGGGTGGGTAAAAATGACAACTCAGTTAAACAGGGGCCAGTCAAATTACCGGGATGCCGCTTACACAGAAATACAGCGATACGCCGGCGCATCACTGACATGGATTATCCAAATTATAAATGCATTATTTTAAGCAAAGCGTCAGCTGCTAACCGGAGCCGATAATCAGGAAGTCTTTGATGTATGCTAGGACAACGCTGAAATGACATCTAAGTAGCACTAGGTATTGTTAGGTGAACAGAATGGAAGGGGAATTCAGGAAGAAAATCCCAGAACAATAGCAGTTGAATTAGACACACCTTCTATTTAAAAGCCAACTTAAAGTTTTTGGCTTCAGTTTGCGTTTTGAAACTACTTTTAAAAAATGCAACAGGGAATTAGTAAGGCCAAATAAATAAAGGTTTCAGCTTCGCATGACAGCAAACATTTAGGCAAGTTGTGTGTTTAAAAGTGAAAGTAATGACAAGGCCAATGGCCTCACTGGAAAGTGGCTATTCAGAAAGCGGTAAAAAAGGGTAGAATATCTCTAAAAACGTGGGACTCACCCTTCTACTCAACTGTCCGCTGATGAAGACCTCATTCGCTGCAGAAAACTAACGAGAATTGGCATAATTTGCTTCCGCGTGACGGCTGCATTATTTATGGTGCCTGTAAACATGAAGTGATGCGCGTTCGATTGAGGGCCTTGCCTATTCGGCTGGAGTTGCAGTTCGTTCGGCTCGGTTGAGAGGTATTGTGTCAGCTAAATGGACAAGGTGTGTGAACCAGACCGGCGACAATAATACTTCTTAAAATAGTTTCTACTCACTTTTGTAAGTACAACTTTAGTGAAAAATTGACGCCAGCGGAATACCCAACTGACGTGCAACGTATTTTTTGGACGAAGGCCAGTTTCGCATCTACTAGCCTTACAAATGAGAAAGCCTCGAGGTTTCGCCTAAGAGAGCTCTCGAACATGGATGCTAAACACAAGCAATTTCACAATAAAACGAAGGAGACAAAACCATCGCAGTATCTGCTAATTCTCACATTCCCAGTTCACTCAATCATGTAAAGAAGTCGATATTACAAGTAACGACAAAAGGCCAACTAGCACCCAACAAAAGGTTGTCGAAGTTAGATTCAAAATTAAGAAGAAATGGACCATTCGATCAAGTAGATAAACTTCTGCTTCAACAAAATTTTTTAGAGTTTGAAATTACGAAATCAGATCCCACTTCAACAATTGAAAACAATGAAGTTGTGACGACAGTATCCAGGACAGACATGACATTGTGGAGGGAGGGTTCTTTCACCTAGCTTCTGAATCCGGTAGACTCGCTCTCATTTCCCTCTCTGTTGAAGTTCATCTCGAAGGCGCTTCACTGTTCGAGTTCAACCGCGGCTGAAGTCTACAGTCTATACAAATCCCTAAGATGGTAACAAGACTGATTAACAACAAAGTACGTAGCAACGGCTGCCATCCAGCATAAATGTTAAAATGCCACGCAAAAATGTTGGCTGAGCAGATGCACTGCCCTCTGGTACACACTTTTGAAGCTGAGACCGTGAACCCAAAAATGGTGCGATACTTTCATCACGCCGGCATTGAGAAATGGCGACAGATAAATGGGTAAGCACTACTTTGGGATAAAACTCCAAGACAACGCTGCAAGACACTTCACATTTGTCCTCCCACATCACTTTTACCTGCATCACAATCTATGATCGAGAAACAATGACTGTGGTTTCCAGACGGGGTGGGGATGTGTTAATTAGCACTCCGTCGGAACCTTGGGAACACCCTTAGTGCTAAAACAGTCCATTCTGTCTTTCAAAAAATAAAAGACAAAATGCGTATAAATGGCAAGGAAAGGGACTTCTTTGGTGTCACCTACGGCATCCACCATGGTTACATTCTCACATCAACCCTGTTCGACTGCAAGTGCTAGCACACCAAACAATGCTCCAGTAGATAGCGCCCTGCGCATTACGAATCTTGGCTACGTAGTTGAACATAGTACTGCTGACGATATCCTTTGCGCCACGTCCCAGACAAGCGTGAAATAAAGCGAAAAAGATCGTAAAATCAACTCCTCTAAAACAATCACGATCGCTTCAAACTTCACGGTCAGAGACAGCTGCCTGGTCACAGTAGACGGCCAGGGTCTTTTGTCTCCTCCTACCTTGGTTAGAGATTTCTGCCATACGAGAAAAGCAAGGATAGCACCAATCGTCTGATCAACTGGACACGCATCGTCTTCATTCGACTTCCCCGCATCCGCTGGAATCAGCTCGAGATTAGTTTTAAGACTTAGTTTCGAATAGAAGGGGTAAAAGTCAGTACAATCCTTCCAGAGGGGTGAGAGGGGCGTTCAGGAGATATCTACCACCTAGATTATGCACACGCTCATCCTCTCAGTCCACCTCTCTGAACACAGCCTCTCAATTATGCCCTCTCTAATCGCCAGATGAAATGGGTCTGCCGGGCGCTGCGTCGACCTGAGGGTGAAATCGTCCTGAATGTCACTTAGCCCGAACGCAGTCCCAGCTGGCGATTGTGTAGGGTAGGACAACGGAAGACGCATCGAGACCCAACCTCGATCACATCCACAGCTTTGCAGTCTCTGTCTGTGCGACTGCAGTGTTAACTGACTCAACTTCACTAGAATCTGCTAAAGAGTGCCCATTCATTATGCTGGGCGCGCAACATGCAGCCAGTTGAATCAGTCCTGATAAATGTTGGCTAAAGCAGATGAGTAAGAAGGGAACTCTAACAAAAGCAGAACTCACTGCCTCAGCAAACTGACGGTTTTCGGGGGATGCAAAAATTGCCAGACCGCGACGCATACCGGGAAGTTCGCCCTTATTCAGCACAATGCTCCTCACTCTATTGTCTTTTTTCACAGGGCCAACAGTAATGCAGACCAAAAGTTTGACCTTGTGGTCCTGACAAAACTTGTTGGCAGCAATAGTGAAGTCCTGGCGCGCAGTCATCTCCTAAATGGATGATGCAAGGAATAATGAACAGATGATTCTCACAAACAAAAAAGCACGCGTGAACAACGAGTTTAAAAAGCTAAAAAATCACTTCAAGCCTCGGGCGTCGCACACTTCGGGGCTGGGTATGACTGGCTGACGACGGCTAATAAGCCAGAAATGGCCATCCCAGTCTCCCTTGTCTTTGTCGGTAATGCCATTCTGCCTGTATATCATGCGCCGCTCTGCGGCTGCTGGTTGGGCTCGAGAGAGGGCCCGTAAGGCACAACGGAACGAGTGAGTTCCGTATGAACGATTGGTGAGCGTCCCCTACTATTAAAAAATCATTGTTAGCAGAATGGTTCTCATAGAAGCGGTTATGCCTCTCACAATCAAACTCGTGTTGCACCTTTTGATAGTTTCATTTTACTAGCACGCGCTATCTTAGTTGTCTACCTGATAGTCCATTCCGGAAATGGTTGAGCAGGCGATCTCTGGCGGCATTTTTGGCTTTGCGGAAACAGGCTTCATGTCACGCCTTAGTAAATCCCAAAGAGAAAGGCCTAAAAGGTAAAAAAAACGATGTAATGGGTTTGCAGAATGGATAATCTGCCCTAATCCACAGACAAAACATGGGGATAAAACTTATGTTCCATTTGTCGGTACGCGTCTTCCATGTGGTCACGTTGTCTATGTTTAACGGAAGCAGCTAGACACCGTAATCTGAAGTCCTGGTGAGAACACGGTAGACAGGTGACAGACAGTATAATTACTTCAGAAATTCCGAAAAGCGTACTTGTCCAAATTCCCTGATAAAAACACCTGGGCATACAGGGTTTTTTTATGCTTTGAGATGCTCATGTGGGAAATAGCTAATTCTGTAAAGAAACCTGGCGGTAGCCCAGAAAAGCGCGTCGAGACTTAAGAAATACTGCTGTGTGAGTAAAAGATTAGGAGAGAGTAAAAGCTGATCTTACCGATTGATTGAACATCCCTTAGAGGCTACTGGTCCCCATTAAAACTACTGACCAAAGGCGTCTCACCAGAAATTACAAGATCCGAGTAGGTGGACAGGCAAAAAGTTAAGGATGTCGAATGGTAAATCTCATAGTTTGTATATCCAGTGAGCAAGGCGGAAGACGACCAGAAGTGGGTGTATTTACAAGTTTCCCCTAGTTGTTACGTAACTGCACTTAAGTAACAAAGGCCCTCATAAGTTTTACCACTCGATCCGGTGGTGCTCTTAAACCCTCACCCATTCAATCTAACAAGGTTAAGTGGGCTATTAGATTTGCAGTCCGGCTTACGAACAAAAAAGATGTGTTCACCTCTGCCGTTGTGAGTTAACGAAAGCACACTAGTCTGTTTTCGTACCTGTTATGCAGAATTTGGCGTCTGAGATTTGTTTGTAAATGCTTTCGCGAGAGGAAGTCTCGTTGAACAGCTCATCGCGTCCCAATTCTTCGAGTTTTTGAGCAGCAAGAAAATCTGTATCCGTAGCTCTCCGCGCGAGTTTAGCCTCGTCGGTTAGGCCCAGTGTGTCAACCATTATAGCACCTGAGGGCAAAACTCTGGTTTATGCAGAAAATAATGTACCATAGAGGAGTTGGCAAAGCTCTAGTGGAATCTGATCACGAGGTAGTCTCTTCGTGAGTTCATCCGTCATGAGAGACGCACAAGAACCCACGCGCTCAACTCGGAAAAAGTTACATGTCTGAGGGCGCACATAGTCAGGCGAGAGCGGATGGTGATCAATTATGTCAGTTATTCGCAGGTCTTTGAAGATGGTTGTGGCTGCCTGTTCATGATGATCCACTAGAATTAGGTCAACATTCTTCCTGAGTGTATCTTCAAGAAGTTTTTCCACACTTCCGTGATAGAATAGTGACTTTGGGGTGATGCGACAGTTGTTTAGCCAGTGTGTTGCTTCTGTTCTAAGTGGCATATCTTCGATCGGAATGTTGCAGACTGGGATATAACAGGTGTTCTCGCTTTTGGCCTCCTTTTAAACGATACACAAAAGATCTATGATAACCAACCTGTTGTTTCAAGTAGGCAAATGCGGTCGCGCATGCAATGCTGTCCAGATCGCAAGCTTCATTGCCAGTAACGATAACATATTTTTTGGCGTTGAAAGCCTCCTAAAAGGTTGTAAAAGTATAACAAAATCTTACCAGATGATCAAAGACCTTTCGGAGAAAGCTGGCCAACATTTAAGTGAACCTGACAAATAGAATATAGAGGTTTTAGGAAATTTGGTGGAAAAAAGTTTCAGTGGTGTTTTCTACTATTATTACGGCTCAGTTACCTACCTCATTTGTCACTGCTTGACCATACAAGATTTTACCAGGTCTCGTATGCCATGACAAGGCCTGCTCAAGGCGATGATGCGGCCCGAAAAATTTTTTACATGCTTTAGTGTGTTGCACTGCCACAAATATGAAACTGAACAATGCGTGCAATGTACTCAGGAATTTAATAGGCCTACAGCCCAAAGCAATAGAGTAAGTTACGAAACAATTTCAAACTTTGTCAATAAAGACGAGGGAAACGTGGCGCTGGCTCATCTCAAATGTGCCGCTACATGGGGGCCTGTAGAGTATCCTCTGCAATTATGAGCACCATGCGTCCCATAGAGCACGAAGGTACATACAGCAATCTGCATCCAAAAAGACAGCAGAGGCAATATCGACGATAAATGCTCTTTTTGTCAAAGAAACTGTGTCGTCTTCGGTCGATTGACCGAGAGGAAATTATGGCCGACACTGTCACTCAGCAAAGTGTCTGGGATGTACAAAAAAACATCCGTGGACTTGGCTAAGGATAGATGGTTAATGCAACGAACGGCACGGTTGATGTCTAACTGCATTACGTATCTGCACCTGAACGGCCCAACCTAACCAACGTCAGTTTTAATTAAGTTGACTCTCAATGCTTCGTACAGGCGGGCCCCCAACATCTGTAAGCTGTCTTGGCTATGTGCTATATGGCAATTTGACTGTCGATTTCATCGATGTCCACCGTGTACCCCACGGTCGGGTGGGCACAGGAGCGGTGACTTACACATGAATCAGTTTATGGTGGTAGTAGACTGGCGTGGTGTGGACCCGCATCCAGAAGTGCCATCACACCCATTTTCCTCCCAAAAAGGACCAGAATTCTTCATGACACAAGGAGGCGGCTCGGATCCTAACTGAGTGGGGACGCTAAGGGCCATATTAAGAAGGAGCCATTTCAACCGGACACTCAGTCCACCAGTCAGCCATGCGCAAACACACACAGTGCTGACTGCAAGATCCGAGTTGAATTGTTAGTTTACAGCCTTCTGAACAATAACTTTTGGCACACTGTGATAGTTCCAAACGCGTGAGACCGTCTATAGTTACGAATATGCGCTAATAATCGACCTCACTCTCGCCCCTTCCCGTGTTCAGTCGACTACCCCAGCCGGCCAAGAAACTGGTAATGAGAGGTGGCTGACAAAGCCGTCAAATAGCTGACACTACTCACATCCCCCATTACCAGTTTTCTGCAGCCCTGTCTGTAAAAATTATACTTTAGGAAGCAATGTGCAGTTCATACTCATGGATGCCTTTCACATCTAGTAAAATAGGACGGTCGTAGGCCAACTCAGAATTCGCAAGTCTAAAAACTGCGGCTACCTGTAGGAATAGTTACTAACAAGGACACGAGAAACTGTAACAGCCATCTAGGCTTACTTGTAGGCCAGACAGCCAAGGCTTAGCTCCTAGATTGAAAGGCCTGGAACTTAAACTCAGGCTTCGTTAGCCGTTGAATCTATCGCTCTGGCAGGCGTGGCAGGCACTCAGGCGAGCAGCATTCACCAAACGAGCCTGGCTATGGAATTGAATATGGAAATTATGTTTTGCTCTCGAACGGCCGTCTACGGTCCTCATTGGCAGTTGTACAGAAACGAGTAATTGATAGTTTCTACCGAGAAAAGGAAGGTAAAAATTGTGTGTCATCGCCATATAACCATGCCTCAACCTGAGGCCACAAATATCCGTATCCTGTCCTGAAAGCAGGCCATATTAGCGAAGATCCTTCCTACGAGCCTTCGGATAGTGATTTCCAGAAAACATGGACAGAATCTTCAAAAATACCTACGGCTTTTCTGGTTCAAAAACTCCTCGCAGACGGGTGCCTGACGTTGGGAAAGTCAAAACCTTACACATAGGTCTCGTCTCGCGGGAATCTGTCACCGCCTGTGTAATCAGCGAAAGACCCGAGCGGATCGAACTTTTCGCTAACCTTGGCGTCCTTAAACTACCCGCGTGCAATGGCAAGAAGCCAAAATTTACACGCGTCACTGTAATGTACTCTTTCAAATCTCCAGTCTCGCGTGGCTGAGTCAGGCGAGCCAGCCAAAGATGTACATATAGTACACATAGGAAACTGGTCGAAATAACTTGCCTCTAGTGGTGAGAACATCGGCCACCTATGAGAAGCCGAGTAATGTCAGTGTGAATGAACGGCAGTTCGCATCGAAAACACTGGCTCGCCGATCTTTGACTACGTTGCCATAAGAATTGTACTTCGAACCAAAAACACGATTACTCCTCCACTTGCAGATCAATCACGCCGACAACATCGTGGTGGCCAGTGAGCTTTGTAAACGAGAGCGCGTTTTTGAGGCAGGAAAGCAGGTTAGGGTGATTACTTGGTGATCGAATGTACTATTCATAACAACAAAAATGCTCAAATGCTGCATTCGTTTGCGCTTGCTTAGAGGTTCAAGATCCAAAGTTCGAAGGTAGAAACAATTAAAGACCGAATGTGTTCGTGTAATTGAATGCCTTTCAAACGAGGTGTGCATGGGTCTGAAGTACAGCAGTGACTCAGATCAACAAAAGGCTGCAGATGGCAATGTAAACTATGGAAGACAGCAGACAAAGTATGGCAACGACAGAAAGCTCGTGTGACCATAAGGTATTTTGGCTGCGACATGAAAGATATGCCGAGTTGCGCAAGGCCAAAGGGCCTTGTGCATGTGTGTGATCCACCTAAAGCTACAGACTCGGATGAAAGACGACAGCTGTCTCAGAGGGTATGTGCTAAGTAAAACCAATGTCTCCTACGGCTTTCAAGAAGGCGGTCAGAATTTACAACTACCTACTGAGGTAACTTGTTTAACGATCAATTAACACACTGCCAATAGGCCGTCTTCCGATCCTTCAGATACGTGTGCGGCCTGAAAAACCTATAAGGGTGTCAGTGGTAGCCAGAGGGAAAATTGATTGTAGCCAAAATCATCTGTTCTGTTCCTTTCTACGCCTCAATAAGGTCAAATCATCTAAATCTTCGTTAAAATGTAATAAGAACGGGCTTTCGTATATGTTGCATAGACAGTAAATTTGTGTGTGAATCAACAGTTTCTACTCCTGAAGTCCGGTTGCATGTGCACCAATTTTCCCAGAACGCCATGCGTCGGGTAGGCTGCCAAAACCGCATCAATGTGCGATGACTGTGGTGCGGACGGTTTTCCGGACAAGGGGACAATAATCTAGCTTCAGAGTTTGCGAAAAAATTTATCAGGCGTAACAGCTGTTAGGATAGAAGCGATTTGACGTTTTTACTAGAGACGCATAGTTCATTCGTATTTAAGAAGTATTAAGGACATCACTTTTTTGTAAACTACGACCTCAACTGCTTTCTCAATCAAACTAACCCCTGAATAGCGTAGATGGCTTGTCACCGCGAAAGCAGCGGGCAGCTCAGCGGTTATACGACCCGCAAGCTACGCCAACGCTAGCAATTGGTTATTTATGCTAGCCGCTGAATGGTTATTAACTTCTGGACGCGTCTTTAAAACATTCCCGCATGCTTCTCGTCTCGTATACCTGATCGACAGTGTCGGAGGCTAGTGTTTCCGCAGATCTTTCGACTGGCTTATCGCTATAGCTACTGTTTGGGAAAGAACTGTTAGTATCTCCTTTGACAGCCATGTGATGTCACTCTGTCATTCATACGGTCAATTATGGGTTAGTGTGGATTGGGACTAACATTTGCCGACCAATGAGGTTAAACGGAGAAGGTAGACAAATATAAGAAAATGGCTATGACAAGGTCAAAAGGCGTTTGCGATGAGGGGCACTGGCGTAGTTATGTAGACCGTTCGGTTTCTGGTTCAATACACTTCGTCGGGTTGTCGGTAAATCGGGCACTGTCTCTCTCACCGTAGCCCGGAACCGAGAACGAAACCAAATAATTAAAAATTCAAATGAAGCACCTGGTGCAAACCAGTCGGCCTTTATATGTGTTATGCACTACGGAGTTACATACTTGTTTGAATTGATTGAAGATAATTTTGGTGGAAGTCCAGGGTGTGATCGGTGTAACCACGTGCTAGTGAAGATCGCCGATGTTCTCCCCCTAGCAGGTTCTGACATCCCTCATACCATCACTCACCACCCCACACCCTTACTATCTTTTCCGACGTACTCACTGCTCTTCCCTGTAGCTTACCACAGCGTTATGCAGCCACCGGTAGTCTATTACACATAGAGGAAACAGTCCTCACTCCAGATGGGCCAATTTTTTCATGTACCAGGATTATTCCATGTATCTTGCCACTCTGGGCGTAACAGTCACCGTGAGGTCTTCTTATTTCTTCCTCTGGTATGTCTTGTTAAATATCGTTAATTCTTTTCTGTGAACTCAATTGCTACTTGGAATAACTTACCCAGGAATGCAAAAACTCTGTAAATTCATCCTTTGTTTAAGAGAACTACTTATCGCTTTTTACATTCCGAAAAACTCCCACAAATTTTGGGCGCTGAATCCATCGGTCGAATGTACCGTGGCGATTGCGTTCGTGGTCTCTGATCCCCATGGCCGGTTTCACCAAGGACAATTTCTTTAGCCAACAGCGACAGATTTTCTTCAGTATTTCTGTTTGGTCCAGTCCTTACTTCATGAAAAGAAATGGCAACTGACATTGTCCGATGCAGTGCTACCCCTCCTTTCACTGACTGTGTAGTGGGTAGCCATAATGACTGGTCCGGTGTCGTGGTTCAAAACCTCGCTGACTCAAGTTCATTCACTCCTCGCAGCGATCCCTCCCGGACGAGCTGACCTGAAGCCACTCGACCGACTTCAGCTCGGACACAATTGCGTCCACACTGCGTCGCGCTTACACATGCGCTACTTGAACGTGCCACCCTCTGCAACCAGCAAAACAAGCCACTGGGAC